ATACAACAGCCTACAACAGCTAAATAATTTTTTACCATACACCGTATCTGGATTTTAATACTATTTATTATATAAACATAAGTGTTATATAGAGTTTTTGGCACGTTTTTTAAACACACGTAAAAAATACGATATTTTTACGTGTGAAAATATCATTTGTTGTAAAACGCATTGCCACGGACGTTTTATTGTTTTTCACTGAATTTTGTTTATATAATAAACAGAAAAATACATGGGTGCTTGGAAATACCAGATTTATTTCCCGTGTTGAACATGATATCTCATTCGTTCGCTGCGCTCACTCGTGAGATATCATGTTCAACACTCGAAATAAATCTGGTATTTCCGCGCACCCATGTGTTATTCTCTATGTATATAAAATAATGTCTATGCAAGTCGCGTACCGAAATACAAATACAAATACTATGGCTTCTGTTTCTATTATTATTTCTGTTTCTATTATTATTTATGTTTCAAATGTCATACATTCTTCTCTTCCTTTATCATTGATATTACCAGAATGTTGCAGGGACAATTTTAAGGTTAGGAGGATGCATTTGGCGACAATACTGAGCCCAGTTCCCCGGATTCATGAAGTTCCTATAGAGATAAAGAAACTTCTTAGTGAACTATGACCGTTGCCTGTTGTCAAGTAGGCTAGCTAATGTTAATATAACCTGGAAACAGGCCTATAAATAAATAAAATAGAGTCTGATACTCAGGTTAATGCTGATATTACTTCTTAACTCAAATGATGAATTCATGGGTTAAAGGTTTTAATTCAATATGTAATGAGAGGACATAATAGAACAAATTTCAATGTACTGCATCTGGTAAACACACCATAATAATCATATGATTATCCTAAACCATTCTGATTATTCGTGAACAATATTGATGAGCAAAATGTCTTCATTCAAGATGCAAAATCATGACGAGATAAGCCATCAGCCATGAATTTTGAATTACTATAGATCCCGATTAGTAGATTAATTTTGTACATTTTCCCTTAATAATCAAATAGTTACAGATAGTGTAACCATGGATAATAAAATAAATGGATAGGAAACTAGCTGACGTGACCTAATGTTTTCAATGGGCTGATGGCGTGATTGAATGTTGAAACCTAGTTGCAAACCAAATTCTCAACTAGGGATCCAAGGATAGTGTGAAGTTTCAAATTGAAAAAGATTCTGCAAGAACTATATAGGGTCGCTGACAACCTAGAAAAGCTGATGTCTTACACTACGAAATAAACAATCACCAACGGTATTTCATCTCATTATA